CAGCCAGTTCAAGCAATCCTTGGTAGCGCTCTCATTGGCAATGCAAAAGCTCGGACGAGTTGCGGCTAATGAGTCGCAGCTCATGACATCATCGCCTGGTGCCATTACTCCTTTCCGAGCATGCGCATGGCCCCTATGTGTCCTGTTATCCGAAGCTCAGCGACGCTGGGGTGACCTGGCTCATGTGCTGACAGAGAGGGCTCTGCATGCCTGCTGCAGCACGCATGCCATAGGTTCACCACCACTGCTCTAGAGCAACATGATAATACTGAAGTCTGCAGAGTGAGGATACAATTCATTAAAAATATCTCATTTTACTTACTACTGGCTGGAGAGTCCCAAACAGAACTCTGTTTAATGAGTTTGCCTGCTGGCTGCAACCTGATGGGGTGGATTCAAAGGAGCTGCTTCCAAAAGGCACTGAATGTTTATTTGGAAGAGTCCAGCCAATGGCTGGCTTTAGACAATAAAATAACACACACTCAACGGTTGAGTGTGGGTTGTCATTGAACCATTCAAATATGAGTTATTATGTTATAAGAAGCCAGCCATGCTAACAGTGGTTTCTTAGCCAGAATGAACCATAAAGAAAACCTATGGTTTATTGGATTGTGAACTGTGGATTGTCCATGGTTAACAAATCACTATTTGTTAGCATGGCTGGGTTCAGACCCATGTTTTAATCCACTGTTCAGTGACAACCGACACTTAACCCATACCCAGCCCTTAAGCATAGGTTATGATGTTGTCTGAACCCAGCCAATTTCCCACATGCATATGATAAAGTGGTCTCTGGTTGATAACTTTCCTCAGAATTTTACCTGGTATGAATTCAAGAGAAACCCTTAAGCTCAGACCCCCAGTTGTTCCCAACACAATGAGACAGCACAGAGGGCACTGAGGCGATTCTACCCTTTTTTTCAAATGGGGAAGACTCTTGGGCTCTGCTATATAAAACATATTCCATAGATGTCTTTGCAAGGACAGGCATCCTGTGCTCACATAGAATCAGGACCTCCTAATTTACTTAGTACTCATAGTATGACTTGGAAAGGAACATGAGATAGAGTGCACAACCCTAATACCAGCACCCACATTCAAGTTAGGGAATGTCTTATCAGAAAATATCCTCCAAACAGAACTCTGAGGATGCCTCACCACACTTGCCATTTCATTGCTGGGCAGTATTAGGGAATTGGGAGGAATCAGATGGGGGGGGGGGGACTCCACTCAGCCCTGAGGATCCCTCCTGTACTGCTGAGGCCAGCTCCATCCAATGTGGAAGAAGCCAGCATGTGCACTTCCATTTTTAAAACGGGCCACAATTTGTGTCAGTTGCTTAAAAAGAAACAGGCACACCTGCACAAAGTTCAGGCCCCCAGAATGGGCAGAAACTGTGGAGCAGAGCCTTGAATTTTGCACAACTCTGAAATTAACTGAATTAACTGAAAATCTGCAGTGGCCAAGAAGGAGTGTCTGCACTTGTCACAAGAGGAAAATACTTTCAAGTGCCTCCTATTAAGTGCTTCCATAAGGATAAAAACAAGGAAACCGCTTGAATCCAGCTGGGCAGGCTAGATGGATGCACTCAGTGCAATCTGTGCAAATTTGCATACCTTGTGGAGAAGAAGCTCAAAATTTGTGCAAATATTTTCAGCAGTTTTGTGGAATCTAAACATCCCCATCCCACTCAGCCTGCTTTTGGATGCCAGGTTGGAAATGTGTTGAAAGTCTATCATGTTCAAATGAAAAAAGTCCATGCACAGCACACGCAACACAAGAAATGTTTAGCACAGGCTCACATTTTGTTTTTCCTAAACCACATTTTAAACCTTCCTCTGCCCATTCCATGGAAGCTGTTTCCCTTCTGATCACCCCTGTTTTAGACACAGGGAAATTAAAAGTGTACCTCTGGTAAACTTGGGAGGACCACATATGACTTACTGTATGGAATGACTCAGTAATATAAGTTATGCTTTCTTCCCTTTGCTCATGCTCAACCTAAATTTGCTTTTAAGCTTGAACAGAAATGTAAGATTATCTTTTCAGTGTTTTCATTTAGTATCTCAAGGCGCAACAAATTTAATACCTTTTCTTCGTATTTGCTGCTACATTTAATCTCATGCACTATTATAATTCCTGGAGGTTTTAATTTCTGTCTTCAATTTACCATCCTGAATGCAATTTACTGAAAAATGCAAAGATGTGCTACATAATTATTCCCACATTTCATGGAATTGACAAGTACTTGGACTAATATACTTAACACTATACTTAACAATAGCACTTATTCTAATATACTTAACAATAGCACTTATTCTAATATACTTCATAAGGCACCCCACACTCTGCCCTTGGCCTATCTTGTATCTTGGAGGTGCACAACATCTTCATTGAGTGTTTGTGGGGATGCCATGCACAGCCGCTCATGTGCCCGTTCCCACAGCCCCACACAACATACAGTCATTAAAAGTCTGCTCTGCACAAACCCATCACTGCCTTATGGGCACTATCAGCACTGGCAAAGCAAAATTCCAGGCTGCTCCTGAATCACTAGGACAGGAGAGGCTTGTGGTTCTCACCCTGCCCTACGTACACTGATCCAGTCATAGCTTTCCTTCTGCAACTAGCAGTAGGAACGCAGCAATCCCCGCAGGAACAGATCTGGGTGACACTGTCAGAGAGCTCCATATAGAAGCTGCCTTCCTAGAGTCTTCCAGACTGAACCAATCCATTTTATTAACTCCATGTTTTTGGAAGTCTTGGAACAGACTATGAGACAGACATTTGAGGACCGTTTTCTCCCACCCATCATGTGACTGGTTATCAATACACTAGGAGGCTTTTTCTCTCAGCCCAGCAGAGTATATGTAAAAACTCAGTTTGGACTTAGTGAAAAGTTTTAGGAACTTTTATTTATACCATGTCTTTAAGATACTTGCTTGTCACCCCTAAATCTGCAAGAAATCGCTATTGTACTGTGCATTGTGCAGATAGGTAAACTCCTTTTTCTCAATTTCACTCATATATTTCATTTATGGATAAGTCAGCATTGTCAATAATAGCAGAAGGCTACTATTTTAACATTTGCCATAGGAAAAATGGCATCTCTTAAAATACAGAGAAAGACATAACAAGGATATAAAGTGAAATTCTGGACATCAGTTGTAGAATAAGAAAAGTGAATTACTGGTAGAAGTCACTATGAACAGAGAAATGAATAGAACATGTAAGGTTACAAGAGGAAGTCTATTCCAAGGGGAACAAAAAAGATGGCCTCAGAGAAGAGCAGACAATCTTGGTAATTCCAAGAAGAATGGCAGGGGAATTTCTGTTCATATCCCATCTCTCTGACTGATTTGTTACAGTTTGCAATCAAACTTGTTTTGCTATGTGCTGGGGACTCCCCAACTGGTAAAAATGACTCTCTCTAAGTCAAGCGTCCTTATGGGTCACTAAAACAACCACACGATGTGTAATGTGTTTCAACCTGCTCCTATGCCCTCTTTCTCATTAGCAGAGAACAAATTCATGAAAGGAACAAAGCAGGAAACAGATCAGCATGTGTGTGAAAAGACTTCTTAAAGAATCAACAACTTTCTGTGAGGAAGCAACAACGGGGTTGCTTTGTTCCCAGACAATCAGTTTCAGCCAGGAACAATCCACTCTATCAGGCAAGCATTCAGCCTCCATTGACAGAATTGATAGCAGGCTGGGCTTGCTAGATCCTCTGCTAGACACAGGCAGCTTGAATTCCATTGGGTTCAGTGGAATTTGAAACAACCTCTGATGTTTCAACATAACAGCCTTTGGGTCCACTTCAAAGATCAACTGGAGCTCAGGCATGCATGCAAACTGAAGTCAATGGAACAGCCCTTGTTCACAGAGGAATTCCATGTATTGGATGCATAGATGTCTAGACTGGAGCTTCTGCCTCAGTTTGCTAAAAACATACACATACTCACACCAGCGAAGTTCCAAGGAAAGAAATCAGTGCTCTCCTTGAGGTCTTTTAGCATTTCCTTCTGCCAGTAATTTGCTCACTTCTGTTATCAAGCTTTGTTTTAAGGTATTATTATTGCCTTTCCCACCCAGCCTTGAGCTCAACCTGTGTCTCAACCAATTTTTGCTCATTAAGTTGATAAAAATAACACTAAAGGAAAAAAAAATCTGTAATAGTGTTATGCTAGGACTTGAGGATATGAAACTCTGGTTAAGACGAGTTTCATACCTCTAATACTTTTTTATATTTGATCTGAGATTTTTAAATTCCCTATAGCTGTATTCAGGTATTCAAAATTGCACAATCAACACTGTAGGAAGTGAGGCCATGCCAGCTGGTCCTATCTTGCCACACATGGGCTCCTCCCCTCATTCAGAATGTCACATCATCAGGATTCTGGATCACAGGGAAGAGTGAGATGCCATTTTCAGGATTTCCCCATCACATGGAAGGGGAGGTGGCTTAGGGGTGACCTTTGGACCAGCGGACACAGCCCTACTCTCCCACGCCACACAATATTAAGTACATAGTTTAGGACATCCAAATTCAGAAGGATTCAAAATCTTTGGATCTTTCAGAAGGATCAACATCCATCTATTCTGAATGTCTACTTCATTTTAATAGTATGCCAAATCTTTCCATAATAGTATGAAGAAAAAAACACCCCTCAGCGTTTACCAGAAAAGAAATATATGAGATGGGGCAGGGAGAAATCCATCTCTAACATCCTTTCTCAGTTTACTAGCAACAGGTATGCAGAAACCATCCTAGTAAAAATTTAGGGACTTGACCAGCACGCTGAAGGCCACGTGCCAGGGTAGTAGAGGGCCCTGGGATTAACTGTGAGAGCCCTTTAAAGACTGACTTTTCCTCTACACACCACAGATTAGCAAATAAGAATAATAAAGAAAGGAAGACTTTGTGACTTTTGACAATTATTCTTGAGAGGGGAAAAAGTAACAATTGCCAAAAAATCACAGAAGGTTTGACATGTTACCTGGCTATGACAAAGAGCACACAACTGACACCCAAGTAAGCCAGCAGAATATACATCCAGATATCAGGGGAGAGAGGATTCAGGAAGGAGAAGACGCCCGGGTTTGTACCATTGGGCTTGCGGTACAAAATACTTATTCCAAGAGTCATAAAGGGCTTGGAAAAGTCGATGACCGTCTCTCGAACATACGTGATAGCCAGTGGTGCAACTGCAAGGTCAGCTTTCTGTTTGCAAGGGGGGAGAAAAAGGGAAAGAGAGAAAGAGAAATAGGCCATAAGTCACAAGCAGCAGGCAGAAGCAGGCAATTACATGAACAAAAACACAGACTTTACACTTGGAGAGCCCTGCCTTAGTACCAATCAAGCTGAAATTGAAAGCTCCTCTGTTGCTGCTCCTCTCCCGCTGAGGGTGTTGATTTATACTGCTACACTTCACCCACATGTTTTGGACTGTGCCGTGTTTACAGATTCAGAAGGAAATACGGAAGAAAATTAATATTTTCAAAATTCCTAAATTTATACCTCACCCTTGGCTTGAGGGTTGCTTAATTTTATCTCTCTTCAGAACTATTCTGGAATCCCAAAGGCAAAAGATAAGGGCTTTTAAACATGAAAGAGTGGCCTCCATTTTATTAATCCTGCTCTGGTCAGCACAGTTAGAGAACTAGGGTCAGATTTTGAATCACAAGCAATACACAGCAATATCAGTTAGGTCTGTGCTACATCACCCTTCCCTTTGTTACTTTAGATGGGAAGGAGGAGGAAGAAATGACCTTGAAATTCCAAGGAATTTTGGATGCCATCTGAAAAGGGAGAAAAATTGGTGTTCCACTGGTCATGCACAGGATTTTCACATTCTTAAATGAGCTCTCTAGTTTACATTCTTGAAGGCTGGCTTTCAAATTCAATGTGCATAAGTCATTTGGGCATTTCGTCCACCACTCCCCATCCCCACCTTACCCTAGTCTCCTGCAACTTGAAGAAAAAAGCCTGCCCACTGCCGTCGCACCTTCACTTGTACTCTTGTACAGTTGATCAGTCACAACCACTCATGTTCCAAGGATTAGTTACAGAATGGGATAGCTATTCAGCTTCCCTTTAAGGTCAGCTCTGATACTTCACTATCTTGATGTGTGTCTCTTCCCTATGTATCCAGCTACTGGGTTTTGGGCAAGACGCCTTCTATTGGCTCCCTCCCTTAGCGAGCCTGCCTTTTTGTCACCACTGGCCATCTCAGCAGACAGACTCTTGTCAGTGCCCCACAGGCTGGCGTGGCCCCACTGCAGGGTGATGCTGGCCCTCCCCATGAATCCAGACCAATGCCCAAGGCTCACCTGTGCATCCATCTGTCACCGGATGGAAACATCAGACAGGGACTTCATTATGGAACAGCTTTATTATCATTACGATTATCAATGATTTTACTACTTTTATGTCTATTATTTTATTATAACTGTGGTATTAACATTTGTACTGTCTTAAAACCTGAGTACTTCAAAGGAAAATGCATTCTGACTCTTGCCTATGTCATACGATAGGGGATGCTTAGTTGTGCTATTTGTTCCTTCTTTCATATTGCTTTTTATTGTTCTTGGTACTTGCCTAGGAGTTTTTCTGACAGAAAGGCAGGATAAAAATGATTTTGTTGGATAGACAAACAAGTACAGAAAATAAACTAGATTTTTGTTACTGAAATCATTGAGACTATGAGCTTCCATGCATCACACGTTTACCCCTTCAGGTTTTGGCTGTAGTTTGCAGTTAAGCAAGGGTCCAGATTCTAGAATGCTGGTAGAAGAGAACCTGCTTCTAATAGAAATCATGATTATTTATGCTCTGGTAATCTCCCTATCCAAACTCTCACCTAGTTTACTGAAATGCTCATAACCTGTTGCTGGTTCAAAACAGAGCAGCAAGATTATGGCAGTGGTTAATGTGATCTTATCAGGACTTTTCCTTCTGCTCCAGCTGCCAGTCCATGTTCAGCTGTTGGTATTCACATGCAAAATTATAAACTGCTTTGAGCCAGGTAACCTGAAGGAGCATCTCCTGCCATATAAACCTGCCTGAAATCTAAGGTCACCTTCTGCAGTTGTTCAGGAGACGACATCAAAGCAAGTGAGGTAGATGGCTATTAAGAACAGGGCATTTTCTGTTGTGATACCTTGGTTGTGCATTGAGCTTCCTGGAAAGGCTTACCTGGTATCTACACAATTCCAGGAATTTTAGTTTTTCTGTTTCATTTGCTTCTAACCTGTTAAAGCATGTGAGGAGTGGCAGGGCTTTTCTTTGTCTATATGTGCCAAGGATTGTATCCTCGCTGCATTTTAAATCTTTGCATTGCTGCTAGGTTTTATTTTGATTTCAATGCATGGAGCTGCACAATGAACTATAGTTCATTTTCAGGTACAGATCTGTTATTAATGTGTAAAATCCAACATATACGTGGAAGATTTATCCATCCTAGCCTACTGCATAAAGATAGATATTAAATACAAATTTTATTTTATCAATTTTATTTATTTTATACAGTATACACGCACAGATATAGGTAACATCTCTGCTATAAGTGCTGTTTATGAATACAAGGATAAAAGGATACCAGCAATACTGCTGAATGTTCCACTCTAAAGTTCTCCATGCTAATTTTCTTTTTTTACTGCACATTTAACCCATCTACTGTTTTTCTCTCTTGCTGTCCTATATGTAATCACCTCCACTAGATATATATTACTGCAATGAGGCCAGAGATGTGTGTCATTTTTATGTCTTCGCTAGTTCCAAGCTTTCTATTCTGAAAGCCTCACTGTAAAAGAGTGGCAGCTAAGTAATTTCAACTCCCTTTGATTGCAACAGAAGTATGTGCTTAAATTTCTCTCACTGAGAGCAACAGGATTGTAAAATGTTGAACATTGGTTGAATTCTTCCAAAAGCATTGTACCAGATATTGTATATATTGTCAAGGGTAATTTATAGTGGCTTGAACTAATCATCGTATTATAGTACAGGTAGTGTCTGGATGACAAACATCCAGGGTACAAACAAGCCGTACTTACAAATGTGCACACTACCACAAACCCTATATGAATATCTTTAGGAAACGACAGGATGCATTTGGCAATGCATCATCAGTGGCCATGTAGTTCCCTAGAGACAGTCATAGCTTTTTGTTGGAGATATTCACAGATTTTCACTAGACATAGAGATTCACTATTGATAGTCATGGCTACACATTTCTTTAGGGAAATACATGATGCGTTTGGCGGCACATAATCAGTATTCATGGCTTTTCCTTCTGAGCATTGGCTCAAGGGTAGTCAAGCCAGTGTGTTTTGGTGCATGTAGGGTATAGCACTTCCCCTTTGGTCTTTCTTTACCATTTCCCTTGTAACCAGGCCCTCCTCTGCCACAAAGGCGGTTTATGATAAGAAAAAAGAAAGCAACTGTACAAACAATCCTTGAGGCCTACTTCAAGAAAGCAACTCCGGTAGTAACCCATCCCTCCTCCAGCAATCTAACAATCAAATCCTGACTCTCTATCACCAAGAAGTTCACCTCCTCCTCATCAGTTAATGTTAGGCTTAAAGTTTCCTCAAGAATGTTCTATACTGTTTTAAGAACTGTTTCTTTTATCTGTTTTGTTTACAACACTGTATTATTACTGTATTATTATCATAGTTACAATGCTGTATTGTGTTTAAGATGTTTTAGCAAATAGGGAAGTGTTTCCAAAGTGTGTTATATGCATAGAATGGTTATATATATATATATATATATATATATATATATATATATATATATATATAAAACTAAGAAAAATGTATGGTTTACTCATGTGATCCAACTTGCATACAAATTGGACTTAATTTAAGGACATTGTCATGAACAGAACTTGTCCATAACTCAGAGGCAACCTGTACCCACAGGAGCACAGCAATGTTTTGCTACATGTGACATAAGATGTAACTACTAGCTGTCCTACTACATTTTTATTTACATATTGTGTGGGTTTTCTTAATAATTACAATAAAAATCAAACTGATTCAAAGAATATATTACATCATGATTTAATATATGCAAAACTGAAAAGGACAAGAAGCAGACAGATTAATCAATTCATATAACCATACAATCAACTCATCAAAGTGACAAACAGACTCTGGCACTCCTTGGAAGTGTTATAAACTCACCATATGATGGGCATGATTCAAATGGCAAACTGTTCTACTTGACTTCAGTGCTACATGGTGCAACAGCTGTTTACACAGCGGTCGGACAGTATATGGGCAAGGAAGTTGGTTGCCCCATAATATATAAAATCTTTGGAGCCCTCCATATGTGTTAGTTTCCAAGTTCCATCAGCCTGGTGTCCCATCATCCTGCACCAGCATGGCACTGAGTTGAGGAATGCTAGTATAGACAATACTGAGATAGAGGGACGAATTTTCTGGCAACACGGCAGTTGAGTGTGCACTGTTGCCAAAATATGGGTGTTCATGTAGTGTGAATTCAGCTGGGCTAACAACCTATGGCTTGTTAACCACAAACAACCCATGAAGAGAACCCATGGTTTGCTATTGCATTATGAATTGTGGGTTGCACATGGTGTTGTGTTATCTCTCAACAGCTGAATATGGGTTATTCTGTTGTCTTCACCCAGTCACTATTCAGCATCTTCTGCTTTTACTCAATTTCAGGCCAAAGAACGTATACTAGAGCCATTGTTTTATGCAGGTTAGGGTGTTGGAGTGGGGACCTGGAGATCAAGGTTCTAGTCTCCACCCAGCCATGAAACTGAGTTGTTCTCAGCCTAACCTAAATCATAGATTGTTGTGAGGATAAAATGGAGCATTGTAAGCCACCCTGGGTTTCTCACAAAAGGAGTATAAAAATAAAAATGGTGGTGGTGGTGGTGGTGATAATAATACAGCAGTGAATGCAGAGGTAAAGGTGGTAGCAGATTCTCTGAAGGATATTTCTTTTTTGTTAGAATGGAATGCAAGTCCATTCACATTGGAGATTCCATTCTACTTTCAGTCCGGAAGAGAAATTATGCTTTGCCAAGACCTAGAAAAACCTATTGCCATTTTTTGCCTCTAACTGTTCCTGCCCCAAGGTAAGAGATTTGACCTTGGAGTAGGGAACGGGGAAGCAGTGGGTACTTTTCCAGGGTCTCCAACTCTTTAGGGACATTCATTTGGAATTCATTCCCAGAAATAGTTAAA